ATCCAAAATGAACCACTGCTGTCCAGCTGACAGCTCCCCTCTGGACTTGGATGTAATCTGTGTTTAACCTTTCACAGGAAACCTGATGCCAGGGGACCAGATCTTGGAAGTGAATGGGGACAGCCTAGTAGGTGTCACAAGTGAAAGGTAATCTGCTAAAGTCACTGCTCTCATGTTAACAGTAGTGATGCTGGAAGACAATCTGTGTAAATGTGTTTGCATGTGTTTCACAGAGCTGTGGATATCTTGAGAGCGGCCTCTGCAACCAATCACATGCGACTTCTTGTAGCCAGAGACGAGGAAGCAAAGTAAGCAGAAGTCTGTCTACAGTCCTGTGTGTTAATGCCACTGTTTCTCTGCAGACTATAGAAATGAGCTTGTATGTGGTAGTCAAAATCATTTTTTTGCCCTAAACAGCAGTGCTGCCCCCCGAATGCTGTTCAAAGACGAGTACTGTCGTGGTTTACTGTAGGTCCTGCTTTTGTAGAGGGCCCAAAGCTTCTGTGAGTGATGGCAGGGAGCCAGGCTATTAAATGATCAGTTCTCAGGCCTTGCTGTGTAGTCGAGCAGTGGAGTATTTGGATGCATTTCATGATGCCTACAGAAAGACCATGAACTTCCACCTGTACAACTGTTTAAAGGGAATTAAACTCCCAGCAGGTTTGAGAGTTGATTATTAAATCCTTCCTTAAGCAAACAAAGTTTACTATGGACTATCTGTAGTGCTGGCAATGCAGAGCGAGTGCCTGTGGTTTGTGGCTGGATGAGTGATGCAGCCACAGGCCGATGTATCTGGTCCATCAAGAATCCCTTTTTTATACTGTCAACAAACCCTTGAAAATCCACCTTGTGGACAGGGGTGTCACTAGGGGTGGGTTTAAAAAATCAATTTCCCTGATTTCAATTTGAATATTGCATTCATTAAATCCTGAATTGATTTAAATATGTATGTATTTTACCAGAAATGCCAGAATCTCAGGTTAAGCACTCTGAATCCTACCGTAGACTGACCCCAACAACGGCCTCCTCTTGCTGCCTTTTATTGGCATGACACTTACAATACAACACAAGCACCTCCCACCGTAAAACCCCCAAATGTTCTAAGACAAGGCACTATGTGTGTGTATGTGTGTGTGTGTGTGTGTGTAAACATCTGTATGCATGTGATAATGTGTGTCTCTCTGTGTGCGTCACTTCCAACTGTTTCTTTTTTTTTGTGAGAAAGGGCACTTAAAAAGAGAAGGAGAAAAAAAATCTCCTGGATCACCTGTTGAAAGAAAAAGAAGAGAAAACAAGCAAAAGAACAGAGCAACATACTAAACACAACACCATCATGTTAATCTAGCTAAGTGTAAACAGCAGTAAATACTAAATATTGAATGTTGTTGTGTAGCAAGCAGGACCGACAGCGCACAATGTGCTTTGAAATAGCAGCCAATAGAGGTGTAGTTTATGTCTATGAACAGAGAACACCCGTGTGCACACCTGTGTGGATCAGCGCGCTTGTATTCAAAAGGTTTCCCCATGTAATGGTCTGCTAGAGCAGACTCTGTATTCCTCGTCCACATGTAAACGCAAAAAAGGAGTTTTAAAAAAATCTCAGTTTTCGGTGATTCAAAACGTCGTTTACGTGGACGAAACAGCTGCGTTTTCAAAAATACCCGTGTAGGTGTGGACGCAGCGTAAAAGAGTTAGTAGTTTATTTTATTACTACCTGCAATTTATTGCAGATTACTTGTATTTGCTTAATTGTTTACTAAATGTTTGAGGTGTGAAATACACTGCAATGGAGCAAAAGATGGGTGTGTGTAGTTGGAGGATGTGTTCATGCGTGCGTGCGCGTGCACGTGGGGGGGCGCAAACATTTTTCTTGTAAAACAAAGGGGGGCCCAGCAAAAAAAGTTTGGGAACCACTGG